AATCTGGACCAACCCGACAAAGCAAGCGGAAAATGAGAAAAGAACGTACGGTCTAAACACAATAAATATATATATATATTTAGTATTAAAGAAAAAAAAAATAAAAAAAATTTGAAAATGAAAGCTTCAACATTACTGCATTAACATTGCTAATATTTTTCTGAAAAAAAAAACTAGATCTAACAAGTAATGAACCTGTATTTAAATTATATTCTATTTTTAAAAATCACATATTAAGAATGATATTTGGACAAATTGAACCAATGTAAAATATAATAATGCCAACTAAACCGAAGAAACTGGTAGAAATCGTTGAAGCCGAACTTGGTTTTGCGGCACTATGTCGAATATATATTAATATAAATTAATATCTGATATTTGTACATAAATGTACATAATTTAAAATTTTTATACACACGTGGTAGCTGAGGTAGTTGGACCTGTAGACTTTGCAGGATTTGAACCTGATGGAGAAATAGCTGATGAATTACTATTAGGAGCACCGCTATTTGGAGGCTTAGCCGCAGGCGAAGGAGCAGCTGTGGGTGAATTGCCTGCTGCTGGTGTTGCTGGTGATGCAGGTGATGGAGGTTCTGGTGATGCAGGTGATGCAGGAGTCCCATCAGTCGGATCCGAAGGGACGTCAGACAACGGAACTCCGTTAACCACGTTAAAGTTACCAGAAAATTTTTCACCACTACCATCATTAATAACGAATAAATACTGTCCCGGCTGAACACTGACTTTCCATTGTTTACTTAATTTGGAAAGATCTATTGTTTCGTCTATCGTGGTATCCTCGCTTGTCGCTTTATTACGTATTCTTAAAGATCCCGCTATCGTTGGCGCAGCACCAGTAATTGTCCAAGTAATTGTAACCAAAGCACCCGTAGAAATATTTCCAGTTGGTGTATTGACAACAACATCTATAGTTTAGAACAGCTTATTATGTATGGTTAACAGCAACTTAGCAATGGGGATCGCAGTGTAATGAGCAAAAATTTAAAACAAACGCTCGTTTTGAATTTATTTTGAAATTGTATAAGAAACTGCTTTTTCGTATTCTAACGAAAAATTTTCTTTGAACATTTT